AAAATAAAGTGACATCGCATAGAGAAGTGTTCCCACACTGGCGCCACCTTTGCGCCGGATCCTCATATGAAGCGATTTTAAACATATCATACGATTTATGATCTAGTGAAATGCATTACATGCGAAACAGCAATAGGTACATGAGCAGATGGATGGGTGATCGCTGCCGATGCTTAATTATGAAAATAACATCAATGAACAAAATACTCTTTACATTGAGGCAGTGAATGACGTTTGAATTGTCCTGATAATTGATGGATAATATTTTTCGTTTTAACCAAGAAACTCTGAACTGTTTTGTGTACTGCATGCGTTCGCAGGGAGCTCAGTCAAATCAGTTAAAACGCTGCATCTAAGCCGTGAACGGACATGGTCAATTGCACTGCAATTCCACATCAGGGGCAAAGTTTTAGACCAAATAATCGTCACATTTCCTGATATCATCTAAGCCAACATTTGCTATCGAATGTTGAATGAATTTGAATTAGAAGCCTGCAGTTATAGATTCAGTCACGAGTTCATCTCGCTGACATCCAACATCGTCGAAAGTCTGGTTTCACTCGTCTGGCAGAGTACCGAATACGTAATTGCATAAGAGTTATTGAAGTTTTAAGGACCCATCGCGACGCCCAGAACCATCCAACGGATAATGATCAAACAATGACCACACGTAACAAGCAGACTTGGTTATCTACACATGTCAAAGAAAAAGTACTTGGAAGATGAATAGGAGATGGAAAGACTTAAAATCAATGGATCATTTCACATCTGTCCCAGTGGAATAGGCAGAAAGCTTCATACAACCCTACGATTATTCGATAGCATGAAAATTATCGACATTACTTGGTAAGTTCATAGCGTCAAAGAATCTGTTTCACTCTAAAGCTTAACAAAATGAAAAACAGCGACATACTGCAAGTTACATACAGAAGTCACTAAGTCACTAGGATTCTTATTTCCATTATTGTACAGCCCAAAAATTTGCTGCTTATTAACTATTCCAAGAAGCTTGACGTTGCGGAAACCGTGAACAGCGATGGGAAATTTTACTTTAAACACTTGCACACGACAAATTCCTGTTAAGTGGGACCCGGATTCTGAAAATTTCCTAGCCGTCGTCAGCCATGGAAAGAAACTCACGGATTCCTCTATTTCATGAAGGTGAGCAATATTTGTTGTCGTGGTCAGCATTACTGGACACCACACCGACTACGCGGGAACAAGACCCACTGCAACGGCAGCGAGCATCTTTTAAATGGTGTTTTTAGATGCCTTCCTGATTCATATCACGGAAAATGCTATGAATCGGGACTGTGGGCCAGAAATGTCAGAAACATGGGTTAATTTACAAAAACTACTTGCAAAGTAAAAGCCATTTCGAGCAGATGTAGAGAAACAAAGCACCGTTTCGTTGCTACCTGTCAAAGATGACGAGTGCGAGACGACAGGTGGTCAAGATAAAGCTTATCGAACAGAATTCTTATTGACAGACCATCGGACTGGTCGCGTTTACTTATGAAAGTAGAGAAATCAGTGAGTCTCATCACTTGGCTGAAGAAGGCTCGAAACTTCACTCGGAACTTGGTACCCTCGTAATGGGATATTTTAAGTAAAAGTATTCCTGTCTATTTGCTAGTGAGAATTGAACATGGAATTTTTTTATTGACAGACATCAAGCTCATTTACATGCGAATGCCAACCAAATTTATTTTCAGAAATCAGGACATTTCACTTTGGTTTATCTGTGTACATCAAATGGTCCGACATATCGAATAAGTCACATCCTTCCCTGGTTATGCTCCTCTCTTCATAAAGAGTATTTGTTGCATGCTAAGATGCTCGATGGTTCCATGTTATTACATTAAAACTAAAATGCACAGCGAAGCGATTCTATATGAACGAAAAACTGCACAATTATTCCACAAACCTCCGTTTCAGCAAAAAAAAACATTTTTGAATAAACTTACAGAAGAAGTCCAGCGGATGCACGTCTTAATGTACGGTTCAAGCGGCTTTTAGTCGATAAAGTCGAAAATATACCGATTATTACTAATTCATAATCTGCCGTAACGCATGTTCAGTTACGGAATGAAACTTCGATCGGCCATACGAGTACGGTAATCAGAAAAGAGCCAATTTCAAACGCTGCAACGCTCGTTAGAACGATAAACGACGTGAAGCAGAACGGCGGACGATTATGAAAATTTAACAATAATTGAAGCAGAAAAATCTTCTTAGAAGTAGTAATCTTTGCCGTAATCGCGGAGACCGCCGCGTGTAATTTGGAGCAAAGCGAATTATTCAGTTGTTGACAAAGTTATTCACAGCGAACATTCACATATTTATTGTCTGGAAAGAATCGTTTATCCTCAGGTAGCAGGGAAACATTTTCACGAGGAAGCGGAAAAGGAGCACTAAGAGAGGTATGAAACCACTGACATACCCATCGACATTTGCATTTTATGAAGCTAACAACTCCGCGCTTACCTCCGTTTCGAACCCATCAATAATGAATGCCTTATTTACTTACGTAATATTTGAAGTTACAGAGTCATCTTTGGGCGTGGTTTCTGGGTTCCTCTTCTGGCACACAATCATTGTAGTTTGTTTACCTTTGGGGGATGAAAGACCAGTATTTTTGAGCAGGGTTTGATTGCCAGTTCAGTACCCAACTGACGAAACCACGAAGTAGCGCTAGGTTAGCACAGTCGTTATCATTGTCCAATAGAGGCGATAGAGACGCACCAGAGTTTTTCGGTGAGTGTCCAAACTGGGCTATCCAATAATTTAACCACGCATCGGTATTGACTGCAATCAGTGCCAGGAATCGCATGTCAAAGCAAAGTAGAAAGGAATAGATTTTATTGAGTCACTTCAATAGTCTTCAGTGATGATCGTAAATTCCCATACAGTCCGTAGATCGAGTAGCTGCTGTAAAGGGGAACAGGCAAGTCACTTAGTGTCTTTACGATTAACCTGCTCAGGACGTAGGATGCCTTCACTAGTAACTGCGTCAAAAATTTCCTGATACCTTTCGCATATCTTCTAAAGAAGGCACAATTAACGGGTATTTTTTCTTGACAAAGGTTCCGATTATAGATCTATAATTCATCAGTTAGAAATTACTGTTGTGCGTGAAACAGAAGCTCTGTGATCATTACACATGGATGAAAACATTAACTCCGCGCTGTTGATATGCGAAAGCTGCTAATATATTGTTTATTACGCAGCACGTAAACGTATATGATGAGAATAGCTAGGAGAGCTGAATTTGAACGATGAAACCACCAACAGACGTCTGCGATGGCACTACAGGAGCAAAGAAGTTGACTGGCAATATGGAGGACACTATGCACGATGGACCAGTCATCGTTGAATCCAAAGGCTGTCAAGCAGGGTTCATGAGGCAGTAAGTAGCCCATAGGAAGACCTCCAGATATACGACGAAACGAGCTGCAGATGTCTGTTGTAGGCGTTGTGGATAAAAGTTACAGAAGATCGCGTTAATGGCAAAATATCTGAGAGGCCTTCATCCAGCAGTGCATCGAAAAGGACTTATGACGACGATGACGATGACGAATTCAGCATCGGACCAATCTTTACCGCACGGTTA